TATTACTAGCTTGCTCTGAAGAAATCTAGATTCCATGTTGTTGAATGCCCTATAAAGAAGGTCATGTGGCAAAGAACTGAGCTAGAACTCAAGCCCTCATTGCAATAGCCTACAAGGAACTGAATGAATCCTGAAAACAAGTGAGCTTAGAAGTATATCTTTTCCTATTTGAGCCTTGTTATGACTGCAGCCCCAGTCTGCAACTTGATCTCAGTCTTCTGAGAGACCAAGAGAAAGGGATCCTGGTAATCCAGTCTCAGGTTCCTAACTCACAGAAAAGGTGGGTAAGAAATGTTCATACTTGAGGCCGGCAGGAGGTGTGGTAGTTAAGGAGGCTGGATTCCCACATGGCTCAGCTGCAGTTCAAGTATCAGACCTGGTGTCTTGCTTTCTCACTTTCTCTCTCTCTTTTGCTCTGTCCCGCTCTGGTCAAATTAAAATAAAATAAATGAATATATAAAATTAAATAAAATAACTCCTTAAAAAAAAAGAAATGTTTTTACTCTAAGTCATTCAGTTTTGGAGTAATTTGCTATATGACAACAGATAACTAATACAACCTTCTTTTAATTAGTTATAACATGATAACGTATCCTAATGTTTGCTACTCAGGGTGTGTCCATGGACTAGCAACATCAGGATCACCTGGGAGCCGGTTAGAAATGAGAAACCCATCCCCCAGTCTAAAACTGCTGAATCAGAATCTGCATTTTAACACGATTTCTGGGTGAACAGTATATTCAAATTTGAATAGTACTCACCTAGAAAATTCTTTAGTCATCTAAAAATATAATTACATTGCTCTTTTATCTTTTATTCTAAATACTAGTGAGAGTTCTGCTACCAATTGGAATACAGAAAGTCACAAGAGAATATAACTTTCATCCTAACATGAATTAAGTAAATAATAAATAATCAACCAATCTACGAAATGATAATTTTTAAAAAAGAATTACTAGGACCAGCAGAAAGTGTTACATCACTGGACTTCCACGTAGTTGACTATGGTTCAAGTCCTGGACTCGGTAGCTTAAAGCTCACACTGGGCACATGTATGTGCGTGCCCGAAATCCCGAGAGGAAAATGGAAGAGAAGGGATTGCTGTGTGACCATCCCCCCAAGGGGGGGGGTGATTTTTGCTTTCTATCTCTCTAGCAAGAGCACATGCCTTACAGCAAAAATCTCTTAAAAATAAAAAGAATTATTTATTTAATTTTATTTATTATTATTTTTTAATTTGACCAGAGAGAGAGGGAAAGTAAGAAAACAAGTCACAGGTCTAGGACACAAGCACAAGTGGTTGTCCATGTGGAAGTTCAGCACCTTAACCACCATGCCACCTGCCAGTCCCCAAAATGGTACTATTTTAATAAGTTCATCAAAGAGCTAAGGCTACATGGCAACCAAATAAACTGAATTCTAAAGTATGACAGGGTCTCTTACACAGAGACATAATATGTAAACTGTTTCACCTTTGGCAGAACACAGAAGTAGCAGGCATAAAGAAGGTAAGAAAAATAACTCAAGTATTGATAGATTCTTAAAATCTAGTGTGAGTTAGCATGACAGTTTTGGCATTCCTAGACAGCAGAGTCTGCACTCACTAGCCTGTTCTTCTTCCATGGGCCTCCACCTGGTTCTGAGGAGGAAGATAATAGGATTAGCACAAGACCTAAAAAAGATACATTTAGAGATGGATGTGCAGACCCTGTCAATGTCTGAGGCTAGAGCAAGGACATTAGGCAAAGATCATCCATGCTCTAGGTCCCAAATGAGCACAAGGTGGAGATCAGGTGTCTCAGAAGGACAAGTGCTAACCTGTCTGCACCCTAGACTCATCTCTAATACAAACAAAAGCTGTCTGTCACTGCCAGAGAGACACCTTCTCCACCCTGTTCCCAGACAAAGGATGGCTGCTGTTGCAAGAGAAGTACAAAACTCAGTCCATGCTAAGTCTAGACTATATGCCACTAGAAGAAGTGCAGAAAATCTGCTCATGCTTAGATCCTACAATGATAGAGACCTGCTACCTGTGGGAAAGGAAATGATCACTCACCTGTGCCTAAGAGCTCCCATTGATACTAGGCAGAGTTTACATATCATGATGGGAATGAACAGGAAATTGGCTGAAACCAGAGAACAGTGTTTTCCAATAAGGACATTCTATGACAGTATCTGTGTTGTTCAACATGCCAGACACTAGCTCCATGTGAAGAAGTGGCTATTAAAGGGTACAGCTCTAAGCTCTATACTGAGTAGATGGAAAGGCTATCTGTTCCTGGGGAAGGCAAGGAGAGCCATACTCCTGAGGCACAGGCATAAAGATCCTGCTTAAGACTAAAACTGGAAGAGAAGAATAAAGAAACCTACCCCTCTAAGATCTTTGCATCAAGTAACAAGCAACAGCAATCTATTGCTATGGGAGGGATGAAAACACAGAGACTGATAGCTACCTCTCCAGCTTCCAATATGGCACAAGCTAAAAGATAAAGGTGCAGCAGGA